AAGTAGGCAACAAATTTTTTTTCGTCTATCTTTAATGCTTCGTATTTTTTAGAAAAGAACTCGCCATTTGGATTCATACCCTTACTTAATGGATGTATCCAGTATCTTCTTTGCCGTATTTTTAAGATAGAATAATGTCTTCTTAATAACAAATAAGCAATAAGTTTATTACGATCCATCGCAGAGAGACGTCTATCCACACTCAAAAATCACGAGAAAATGGTTACCCTACCATAATGCCCTGTTTCGCGACGCCGCAACGCGGCAACGCAACTGCCGATTTTGGCGTTGCGGCGCCGCAAAAATAAGCAGTTTGCGTTATGTGTTTCGGCCCAAAAACCACCGGTACCCTCCTACGCCCATATGGGGGCGTCTCAGGATCAGCGCACCTTAGTGTGCGCCACTTCACTGGGACGCCCCCGGGCTGGCCCGGCCCAACGAGTGGACCGGGCGACACGCCTCTGGGGGATTGCGCTAGGGTACTAGGCAATCCCCAGACGGGGTGGCCTATGCCGAATGGCACCAAGGGCACGCGGCGGCCAAGCCGCGCCCAGACCACCTTAGGGCCGACGAAGACCGGCAGTCACAGCTGCCAGCCTTCTTCGGCCCACCCGTCTACGTCGGAGGGGAGCGGCTAGAGCATCCTCCTCCCGCTCCCTCTCCGCTGCCTCCTTCTGCACCATCACAATTTCGCAGAAGGAGGCGGCAGCCTTCCATGCCCTCTCATTGCCAAGCATGGCTCGAACCATACTTGGCAATGAGAGCGGTCCTCCGCCGAGCGCCGCCACCAACGTGCGGCGCTCGTTTCGCCAAGCCGGGCACACGATCAGCGTGTGCTCGGCCGTGTCGTCGGGGGAGGCGCAGTGATGACACCGCGGCAACTCCTCCCGACGGGCGACACGGTGCAGGTAGTGGCCGAAACACCCGTGTCCGGTCAGTACCTGCACCAGGCGGTAGGTGAGGCTGCCCCGCTGGCGCCCTACCCACTCCTCCAACACCGGACGGATCGCCTCGATCGTCCGGTGGCCAGCGGCTGGGTTGGCGAGTGCCTCGCCCCATCGGCGCAGAGCCTCCCTCTGCGCCTGGGTGCGGACCCGTTCGATCTCCTCCCGAACGGGCCGCTCGCCCCGCTCTCTCGCCGCGGCCCTGTGTCGATGCACCTGGGACAGAACCAGGGCATCGATCTCCCACGGGAGCGTACCTGCGAGGACGCAGGCAGCCCCGTGGCTGACCGTGCGGTAAGCCCGCACGGCCCGGGCCGCGATGACCCTCTGTGGTCTCCGTAAGAGGGCCTTTGTGCGGGACGAAAGGCACTCCGCCCACACCGGGGCTCCGTACAGTGCCATCGACCTTATCACTCCATTATAAAGTCGACGGCACGACGCCCTCGGCCCTCCCACATTGGGGAGGAGCCGTCCGAGTCCGGCTGCGGCGGCGCACAGCCGGGGAGCGAGGAGCCTAAAATGCTCCTCGAACCTCCATCGGGGATCCAGGGTCAGGCCGAGATACTTCATGTACATCTCGACATGAACCTGGATCCCCTCAACCCGGACACGGAGCCCCGGTGGCCTGCGTCTAGGGGCATGGAACGCCATGGCCCTCGTTTTATCGAGGGCCACCTCCAACCCCAGGAGGCGAATGCGTCGGACGACCATGGAGGTGCCGACCGACGCAAGGTGGACCGCCTCCTCCCACTCCTTCGCTCCCGCCGCGACAAGGGTGTCGTCCGCGAAGCAGACGACATCCATTCGCGGCAAGAGCGAGCCACGCAGGACCCAGTTGTACCCCAGGTTCCATAATAGAGGGCCTAAAACGGAACCTTGGGGCACACCCGCCGCCACTGTCCACGACTGGACGCGCCCCTCCGCGTCCTCGTAGAGGACTGACCGGTCCCGCAGGTAGTCCCGTACGAGGGCGCGGAGGTAGAGGGGCACTCGGTGGAATTCGAGCGCCGCCTCTATGCACTCGTGGGGGATGGTATTAAATGCGTTCGCGATGTCCAGGGACACCGCGATCACCACCTCCCCCCGCGCTGTGGCCACCTCAGTCCACCTTTTGAGGTGGCCTATCGCGTCCATCGTGGACCGGCCGGTGCGGAAGCCGTACTGGCAGTTTGCCAGATCCGGCCCCGTGCCCTCTATGTGCTCGATGATCCGGGAGGCGATGATTTTCTCAAACGCCTTCCCGGACTCATCGAGCAGCACCACCGGCCGATAGCCCGCCGGAGAGTCCGCCGGGCGGCCCTCTTTACGGAGCAGGCAGAGCCGCCCCTCTCTCCAGCGCCTGGGGAAGCGACCCGACGCGATGCATACATCCAGCACCGCGCGGAATCGGTCCCCCAGGGGGCCCAAGGCGATCGCCATCACCTTGGCTGGGGCCCCATCCGGCCCCGGAGCCTTGTTACGGCTCCGGAGCCGGTCCCTCACCATGTCAAGCTCAGCGTCCGACACGGAGGGACCAGCGGCCCACGCTTCCGGGGCGAAACCGGAGGCCATCCTGGGGGGTGCGAAGGGTCCGGGGTTCGGAAAAAGCGTCCCCAGTACCCTTTGCAACAACCCTGGCTCCATACAGGACGTTGAGGGGGCCGCCGAAGCGAACTTACCCCTCACCGCCCTGTACGGCTTCCCCCAGGGGTCGCCGTCTAGGATAGCTATGTAACTATCCCAGGCAGCGACCTTGGCCCTGCAGATGGCAGTTCGCAGGGCCCTGTGGGCCACATTGTACGCCCGGCGGAGGCTTATCTCCTCACCAGGCGTACTCCGGGCGCGCCTACGGCACCGTAGGTAGGCGCGCCTGGCCCTCATACTGGCGGTACGTAGGATCGTGAGCTCCTGCGTCCACCAGTATACCTGCCCCCTGCTCCGTGGGCAGACCCGCGCCCTCGGCATGGCGGCACTGCAGACAACGTTGATGTCGTCTGCGAACAGGTCCGCCATGCCGTCGGCATCCCCGGCGACAGTGTCTGGCACTTCATACCAAGCCCGCACTGTCGCCGCCTCCTCCGCCACATCAGGCTGGAGGCGTGTGAGCATCCAGCGCCTAAACGGTGAGACGCCCACACGGGGGCCCAGGTGAATGGGGGCCCCAGGGGATGCCGTGGAGACCTCATATCGGACATATCTGTGGTCCGATAGGCTCTCCATGTCCACCACCACCCGCCAGTCCCGGACTCGGGCTGCGAGCGGTGGGGTGGCAAAGGACACATCTATTAGAGACGTGCCCTGCCAGCGGGCGCAGGTCGGGGTGGTACCTCGATTGAGGATCTGGAGCCCCAGAGTGAAAGCCCAGGACTCCAGAATACCACCCCGAATGTCAGTGCGGGGTGACCCCCACGCCGTAGACTTGGCGTTGAAGTCCCCTGCCACCAGTACCTGACGGGGGGCCGCGCGGTGGACGACCCCTTCGACCGCAGCCAGAAACCGCTCAAAATCGGCTCTGCTGCGGTTGGGGGAGAAGTAGGTCGACACTACCACTACTTCTCCCCATCGGACCGCCACATACCCCTCGCCTCTTTCCACGAAAACGAGGGAGGAGCCCGCGCCAGTAACCACGACGGCCGCGGAGCCATCCGCCGCCCCCATCCACTTGTCGGACGAGGGGATGCGGTACGGCTCCGAGACGAGCACCACGTCCACCCTCCATTCCGCCGCCACCTGACACAGGAGGTCCTGTGCCCCGGCGGAGTGGTTCGCATTTATCTGTAGTATTTTCCCCGATGTCCTATAGGGCATTATTAACGGACATCGGGGTCACTACAGAAGCCGAAACCGACTGTGCGCTGCTGGACGACTGTACTAAAACCTAAGAAACAAATAAGTATTTCTAACTTTGAAGAGTTTTTTAAAAAAAATTATGTATGAAACTTATTCTGCAAATAATTTAAAAAACTTCTACGTCTCTTTACCTTTTAAAAAAAATATAACAATAGCTATTAAATAGCCAAGAACTTGACCAAATGATAGTTAAGGTAGCAAAGGGTACATTTTTAGTTTATATGATGATAATGATTCATGTTTTAAGATTTTTTATAATTCATGTTCAACATGGCCGTCTCTATTTCTAACACACATTCTCAAAATATTCCTTATAACGACTGTTATTCTATGGGTCCGCCTCTTCCAATCCATCGGTTTGGGTACTTTTCGTCCAACCATGCTCGAGCACTTCGAGGCGGACCCATAGCATGGCCGGCAAGGAGCCTCGATTTAACGCCAATGGTTTTTTATGTGTGGGGTCATATGAAAAGCCTGGTGTACGACCAAATGACGCTGATTGAGAATATCGATGTTCTGAAACAAAAATTAATTGATGCCGCTGACGAAATGAGGCGAAACCTGCGAACTTCAGTCGTTAAAAGTAATTTAAGGAAAAGATTGAGAATGTGTGTTATAAATAGAGGCGGCCATGTCGAAAATGAATTAAAAAAGCCCTGTATAAAAAGAGCTCCACAGAGCCAACAAATTATAGGTTTATTGTTTACTAGTCCGTAATAAACTCGACTGTCGGCATCATGCAAACCAAACTTTCTAAGAAATATGTTCTTTTGTTTACAAATTGGGATTGCACGTGTGGACTGTTGTTGACCATGACTAAAAAAAATATGATACAACAAAATTACTGGTGCAGCAAAAGACGTCAGACAACTGTAACAGAATATACGCAATAGCGTTTATAAGTATATTTTTTTATGTACATAACTACTAGCTTGAAATGAACATTTTCTGTTTATAATTCTGATTTTTCTTCTTTTCATTGAACGACAACTCTCTATAACGCCATAAAATATACAGTCCCTTTAGTGTCGTTATATACAGTTTACACTGTAATTTTAAAACACTTATTATTATACAGAGGCCTAATTGTGTTTTCTTTCCTTTTCAACATCCATTTTACTTCGAATTTGGTATTGAAACGAAATAGGCAAATTAGACAATTGGCCACTTCTTTTTATTATTAGAGTATGTAGTGTTATGTATGATAATACTGATTATCTTTTACAGTTTTAATCTAGACATGGATAATCAAAATGGCAGACCTTTGTGTTCAGTTCAGATGCACTCTTTTATGTTTGCAGCTGTAGACAGTACAGTTTGTATGAGAAGGTTAGTAAAATTAAATCTAAATAGTTATATTTTTTAAGCATATAACTGCTTGATGTTTAAATCTAAAGAAAATATAACTAGAAAAAATTCCACGCGGACCAGGCAGCAGACGGGACTCGAACCCTCACCCTTCGCTATACGGGCGAATGCACTGACCAATTATGCTACCGCGGCCCCGATGGCCGCGACAAAATTCTTGTAGCCATTTTTAGGCTGCAAGGCAGCGCCATCTCTTGGAAAAGTAGGTAACCCACTATGTCAAATTAATACTTTTACAAGTATTAAACATTTAAAAGAAGAAATAGCAATTATAGTTATAATAGGCTAGTTGACTCATGTCGAATTGTATTAAATAAATGTTTATTTCTTAAAGTATTTGGTCTAAGGCACCTAAATATATCGATTTCACTTCATAAAAGCAGAAGATTGCTGTAGAAATTTAATTTTAAAAAAATATTTTTTAGTCTATATTTTTTAAACACTAAAAACGCTGTTCGCCACATCTGCCATGATTGTGACGTCTCTTTCAGTAAACAACTAAATGTCATTCGCGTGTTATTGTGGGTGGATTCTTTAGACTGAATAAATTTATCTTAAAACACTTTTAACTTTAGAAAAGTTTCCATTTATTGTTTTTCTTGACAAAACTTATTATGGATGCCGGCTTTGTGAAAGCAGAAAGCACAAATCTGCCAAGGATTGACGCATTGATAGTTGGTGAATTTTTTGCACTTAACCCCGATTTCTGCTCTGCGGAGCAGAGAAGCGACAAGGCATCTAAGTATGTAAGTACAGTGCATTTAGTATTACAATGCAGTAATAAACATAAAACTGATACAACATATGAATAAGTGTAATAAAGTTGCGTAGGTTAATTTCTTTCGGCACTTTAATCCACAACATTCCTGGAGTCTTCAATGTGTTTTTATATTCTCGTACAATACAATAATGATAATTACTTTATTTTTCTTGGTATTTATTAGAAATCATGTTCTTTTTATTACAAACTCAGATAAGTTATTTTCTACGTGCTTACGAGTTTTTGTTTACTACAGTTGACATCATAGCATAGACAATCTATAGACTGTAATGGCCGACAGCGTTTTTGTATGTCCATGAAAATTCTATTTTAAAATTAAAGATTTGTAGCTTTCTAGGTCTGAATAATGGTGTAATAGAACATTTATTAACCATTTAAAACCTTTTTCCAAAAAGGGTCAATTAGCCTATTTTTATTTTATGTAAATCTAAATAGTTTTTTATGTAATTATAATTTATAACAATGAACAGAAAAAAATGTTTTCATTAAATTCTTCCAGATCTGCAAGTTCTGCTCTAATCACTTCAGCTAAAGTTTGTGATCCTTTGGGGGATCGTAATGTGTATTATTCGCTTTTCCCTCAAAGCAAGGTTTGTATTAAATAGAATATAGTCATCAAACCAAAAATATGTCCCTGGTGATATTTTTTATATAGTGTTTTCTGTTTTCAGGAAACAAAAAAGAGAGTTGTTATGGTTACTGCCAGAATAGATTCAGCATCACTATTTGATGGTATGTATGTAATAAGACAATGGTTTTAAATAAGTGATAATTTTAAATAAGTGAATTATGCAGCCCTGCAAAAACATCCAACTAAAGCTTTAATTACCATAAGAAATTCAGTTTGTATTTCTTGTTTTTATAATTCTGTCTTAAGGTTCGCGCACGTTATGTCGCCCCTCTGCCTGTCAGCGCGCAGCGCAAAAATCCGCTTAAATCGCTCCTATGTATTTTATATGGGCGGTGCGCAGCGTTCCGCCGCGGATTTTGGTTGGGTGCACTGCGGCCCGCCCCGCCTCGCTGCGACCCGACATAGTGTTTTATGTAGTAAGCGTATTGGATTACATGTGCGCACGTTTTCATTTGACAAGTTTTTGACGTGAAACATCTTTCCTCTCGCTTTCCTGCAATTTGTGGGAGTGATTTCGTGAAATGGGACGGAAGTGTGTAACAGGAAGTCACGAAAGCGCGCGCTATTTGATTTGATTTTAGTACATAATGTTCAAATGGCTTATTCCTCTTGTAGTAGGTTTTATTTCTTTTTTTACTAATATAAGGTGAGGTTTCAAATGTTACACATCATACGCGACTACTGTAAGTCTCGCTCGTTTTATTATATGGTATTTGTGTGCTCCTGTGATGTTCAAAAGAATGGATGAAAAAGCTTTCGATTCATTTAGTTCATGCATACAAAGAGCTATACGGGCAATAAAAAGCTAATTCTTCGTCAGAGCTATCCATAATATACAGTTGTACGGACGTGGGGTAGTACACCGTACACAATATTCGTCAATGCACTGCGACCTGGCCTATCACTGATGTGTTAAGTTAGCAATTTGCACTACGGCCTGACATAATATGCGCGAACCTTTATTATACTAAAGCAAAGTAAAACGCTGTAACAATGGGATCTAACTGATTTTTTTGTAAAAACTTTATGTACAATGTTTTGAAGATGCAAAGAATAGGAAAGTCTACGAGATGAAAGTTGTAATGATGCTTAAACGGAGTGTGAGTAGAATGAATGTATTATCGGTATAAGACTGGCTCGGATTTAAGGAAAGGACTGTGGGGGGTGTGGGCACCTGGCCCACACAAAAGAGATAAAAAGAACTGAATGCGACGGGATCACCAACCGGGGGGTGCAAATCGTAAGCCAGATTTTAAAATAGGGGTCCCCACACCGTCGTTGCTCCAGGGCGTCCAAACCTCTAATACGGCCCTGAGCTCCAGATTCAGATTAACCATTGAATGTGTCGTGTGAGGCGGGTCGTAACGTTCTCTAAAATATGGTTGAGCGAAGCGATGGCTGGTTCATGCGTCATGCTCGTGAACGGGTGCTGCCAGCAGGGATGAGTCTGCTCTATACTGCGTTACTATTGATATGTTATCTTTTATACCTAATATTGAATGAGTAATACCTAATAGAACACTGTTTGTATTTATACTGTATGACATAGCAATCAAAATGTGAGTGGACGTTGTATTGGTAACGACATGATTTTTTTGTAAATGTTGCTACTTCTGTTAAATGCTGATAAGTTTCTTACGCCCATTCTTCTCATCAGCATGTCCTGAATCGGTGGTAGGTAGGAAATATTGGACGATACAAAAGAGCTTTCGATAAGTCAATTTGAATATAGTATAATTTCATTTCAGTTCAATGTCGGTAGCTTAATTTCGGGTAGTTTAATATCTTGACTTGTGATGGGTTAGTTTCGGTAGTGTGAGTAACAGTTTCATGGTGTAGTCAAGTATATAGTTTTACTAATTAGAGAAATCCGATTCGGAACATCACAACTTTTCGATTTTGTCTCGCAAGCCTGAAATTTACTTACTGGGGCAACTGTTCAGTTGAATTAACATTCATTCTTAAAATAATTCTTAGTTGTCAAGTGATTTTTACCATTCGACTTTTAGAGATGGTTCCGCCGTCCTCCAATTCTTGTACATTATTAAATTGCCCTTGAACCTTGGAAATGTTCGTTAACAAAATGTTTATTATGTTTGAACACACAGGCATATCACCAGGCGCAGCAAGTTCTGCAGTGGGAATGGTGACTCTTATCACAGCAGCTTCTATTCTAGCACAAATGATTCCTGTCGAAACTAATACTTACGGTGATTTAATTATACTTTAAGCATTTCTTACTAGCTATTTTTACTTAAAGATACGGCAATGATTCACATTCATTGTATTTTGTCCTCATCTATACATATAATAAAATGGTAGGAAAGTCAAAACTGTACATTGAATATTTTTTTTTAACAATACTTGGGGTGTGATCTACAATCGATACCGAAGCCAAAAATATAGTTTTTAGAATTTTTGTCTGTCTGTATGTATGTCCGGGATAAACTCAAAAAGTACTCCATGGATTTACATGATGAACATATAGGCTACATATTATCACGCTATCACCTGCGAACCTAGGGATAGAGCAGTGAACTTTTATTTCTAAAATAACTTCACGCGTATGAAGTCGCGGGCGGCCGCTAGTTTCTAATATTAGTATACAAAAACTAATTTTCTTTAAATTGAAGCACCTACTTGTGACATCATGTTTAATAATCTCTTTTAATTAACTTATCTATAAGTGTATACTTGCATTTTTTTATTCGAAAGTTCTATCAATATGTGGTTCTGCTTTTGTTAACAAATAATGTAAAATTTATAATATTGCCAGATAAAAACGTACTTTGGACCCTGTTCAACGGCGAAACATTTGACTATATCGGATCGCAGAAAGTTGCGTATGACATGAGGTACGGCGAATGGCCTCCACTGGCGCCCCTGAAATATTCTGACGTCGAAATGTACCTGGAGCTGGGACAAATCGGTGGTTCACTCTTATTGCATAAGGAAGACGAAGACTGGCCATTTAAAATGTTCGCCCCAGTTACAGCAAACAATTTAGTTGTGGTAGGTCTAGTTTTAGATTTGATAGCTTGTTCCGAATATTTTCTTCCTAGTGCATTACATTGAAGGCTACGTTTTATTACAGGTTTCGGAGACAGTTGAAGAAATGAGTAGACACTTGGCAACATTTAATATGAGCCTTCAGCTTACGTCAACTCAAAATCTACCTCCTTCTTCGCTGCATTCTTTTAGGAGAATCTTACAGGATATTCAAGAAGAAAAGAATGGAAAGAACCTTTCCTCTGTTGATATTGATTTGAATGGTGCTATGAGTCAAATGGTGATGGTAGACCATAATGATCATTTTACCAATGTGTACTACAATTCCGCCTTGGACGATTATAATAATATAGGTTTCAATTATCATAATTTAAGCATAGGAAATGATGGCACTTGTAAGTATAACGGTGTAATTACATAGGTTTTTTTATCTTCTTTAATCTAATTTTAATTATTGCATATTATGTTTCTATCTTGCAGTCATTACAACAAATGATCTCATCGCAAATGGTACGATGAAAAGGTTTGAGGCTCAAGTAAAGATAGCTCTACTTGCGACTGCAGTTGCTCGCACGCTGTATAGAAGAATTGTAGGTGAATCGTACACGGGCAACTTGACTGCTTCAGCTCATTTAGTAAGTATTCCTGAAAAGGTTGAGTCAATTTCAAAAATATCTCACAAATACGGGTAAATTACACACAATATATAAATATACTAGAACGTAGGTATGTAACGTACCTACATTTGTTTTCGAGAACAGCATGGATCGTCTCCATGCTCTTTCGAGAACAGCATGGATCCTTTGCTAGCATTTAACTTTGCCTTTCTTATTGATTGTAAGCTGTGGAGTTACGCTTCATCTGGGTATATTTATTATGAGTTATATAACCTCTTTTAGGTAGACGAAATGTTGTACTGCTTTATGAAAAGCCAAGCATGCCGTTTGCTACTAGCTGCCGATTACGCGAAAAGCGGTGGGGGCGAAGAGAATTTGCCAGAAAAACCTGCGCCATTGTACGTTGGAGTCACTGCTTGGCCGGGCACCGCTTCGGTGTTCGCCGGCCATCTGTTAGCGTTGCTTACGGGAACCCATCTCGCTGTCAACCGTACACAGTGCGAGGCCATGGACAAAATCGTGAGTTATTATTATTATTACAACTTATTTTTCAATGTTCTATGAATAGATAAAATTAAATGACGCTCACTAGATAATACATACAATAATTTATCATAGGTTCTTTTAGCCTTACCACAACAAAAACCTCAACAAAGCTATTTCTTGAATGTCATACTTTTTAGTAACAAAAAAAATAATGTCAGTAATGTTTCAGGAATATTCTTATTACTGGCTGAAGGGCTGGAACCACAGCGGAGTTTGCATCCAGACTACAATGAACTTCAGTCAAGCTATTAGTCCTGCATTCACGATATCAGGCAAGACATAAATTAATATTGAACTTTGACTTTCAAAATCTCTACAAAAAGTAATAATTTTTAATAAGGCGTTTTTCCACGCATTATTATTGTGGTTCTTGTACGAGTCGCAAGTGTGAATTACACATTGTCTGTATAACCTTGTGTTCTGGTTAATCCGCAAAAAAGTAAACATCATTTCATTAATTCTTTCGGTTGACAGATTACGATTTCGCATCGGGCGAGTTCTCGACGTGGACGGAGTCGGTGTGGCGCGAGATGTGGGTGCGCGTGTTCGTAGCGGCGGGCGGAGGCGGGGCGCGCGCGGCCGGCGTGACCGGCGCTGTAGCCACCGCGTGCGTCGCCGCGCTCACGTACTGGCTGCGCAGCCGCGCGCGACACATCTTCATTGAAGCGCCCGCTGCCTCGCTCGTCTCCACCGACGCGGCCGCCGGGTGAGTGTGTCTCTCTCTCTCTTTCCCTCACGCGCGCGGCCGGCGTGACCGACGCCGTAGCCACCGCGTGCGTCGCCGCGCTCGCGTACTAGCAGCGCAGCCGCGCGCGACACACCTTCATTGAAGCGCCCGCTGCCTCGCTCGTCTCCACCGACGCGGCCGCCGGGTAAGTGTGTCTCTCTCTCTCTTTCTCTCACGCGCGCGGCCGGCGTGACCGACGCCGAAGCCACCGCGTGCGTCGCCGCGCTCACGTACTAGTTGCGCAGCCGCGCGCGACACATCTTCATTGAAGCGCCCGCTGCCTCGCTCGTCTCCACCGACGCGGCCGCCGGGCGAGTGTGTGTACCTCTCTCTCACGCGCGCGGCCGGCGTGACCGGCGCCGTAGCCACCGCGTGTGTCGCCGCGCTCACGTACTGGCTGCGCGCGTGACACATCTTCATTGAAGCGCCCGCTGCCTCGCTCGTCTCCACCGACGCGGCCGCCGGGTGAGTGTGTCTCTCTCTCTCTCTTTCTCTCACGCGCGCGGCCGGTGTGACCGGCGCCGTAGCCACCGCGTGCGTCGCCACGCTCACGTACTGGCTGCGCAGCCGCGCGCGACACATCTTCATTGAAGCGCCCGCTGCCTCGCTCGTCTCCACCGACGCGGCCGCCGGGTGAGTGTGTCTCTCTCTCTCTTTCTCTCACGCGCGCGGCCGGTGTGACCGGCGCCGTAGCCACCGCGTGCGTCGCCACGCTCACGTACTGGCTGCGCAGCCGCGCGCGACACATCTTCATTGAAGCGCCCGCTGCCTCGCTCGTCTCCACCGACGCGGCCGCCGGGTGAGTGTGACTCTCTATCTCACGCGCGCGGCTTGAGGCCTGAACACGAGTTTCCAGCTTCTTATCTCAAATTCCGAGTTGAAACCCTAAAGTGACTTAGTCCAGGCAACGAATGCTCAAAAAACAAGTATAGAGGGAAATGCTTAGAACACAATTTTTGACTTCGTAACTATGTTAGGACTAGTTAGGAGGTAAACATATCAAAAGTCCCCGCCCGTAGCCCTTAAGCCGGGGGGAAGGGGGGGGATTGAAGGTCCCATTTTTAGGTTTTTCACATATATCTCGGAAACTATGCATCCTAGCGACATGAGACTTTGACAAAAGTGAAAGCTGATATCGAATTCGAATAGTTTGCGATCTGATTTTTAGTTCTAAATATGTATGGAAACTTGAATTGAGGTGCCAAATGGACGTAACGAGAACTAAAAATCAGTACACATTTCATAATGACATTTCGCACTCGTAAACTATTCGAATTTGATCTCTGCTATCGATCTGCACTACCCTTTGGCGAATGGCGTTAAGTAGCGTTGGTATTTGTGTGACATAAAAAGACGCCAAAACGCTACGCTATAACGCTACTACGCAGCGCTAAGTACGCCTTCTGTTTGACGAAGCCTTTAAGAGCAGAAGCGGGATGATACTTTTATAAAGTAGCACTACCATAGGATAGGTGATAATGACATACTTATCAATTTACTTTACTCATTGGCATTAATCAACATAATTAATTTACCAAAACTTATTTTTATTACAGGATAATGAGGACGGTGAACTGTTGAAAAAGAATACGACTTGAAAATGCAAGACTGGCTGTGTGAAATGTAATAATTAATTAAATTCATTCCTTAGTGATTTTATGTTTTCAGTATTAATGTTATAGTAGTCCAGTCGGAATAAACATGAGACCTATTCTAAGACACCAGCGCTTAGCCAATTTTTTCCTAGATAGTATAGACCCCCACGAATATGCCCTCCATTTGTCCCCGCTAGAACCCGTGTTTTGTAGCCAGGAAAATTGTTTAAACAAAGAAAAACCGGTTTTTTTGAGTTTTTTGCTTGTAAACGGGGATTTTGAAAATTTTTTTGAATCAAAGTTTTTCATTAGCTTGCCCTCTACAAAATCAGTTCTATGAAAAAATAACGTGAGATTGTTAGTTTAGCAGTAAATTGCAATTATGAACAAACATGTTATAATAAACATTTTGATTTCTAAAGTATTTTATCATGTGGGTAACGCCACTCCCAAGAGAGTCATGTAAACTTTATCGACTTGTGTCGCAAACTTTAGCAACAATTCTCAATCTCCGAAAAAAAGTACTTGCCTGTCCCGTCTTTCCCAGAAGGCGCACAGCGGGGAAAAAAATTCAGGTGATTCGATTCACCAAGAATTTTGAGGAATCGATCGAGTAGAAAAAAATCGTTAATAAAAATGTTCGTTTTTGGACGATTAAATTTTTTTTTAAAAATCGACGTAGAATTTTTTTTTTTAAACTAATGTATTTTTCTCTCCTCAACTCGAATATACTATTCTATATTCGTGGGGGTCTATACTACCTAGGAAAAAATTGGCTAAGCGCTGGTGTCTTAGAATAGAAGTCGGTCCAAATTATGGCTATTCCGACTGGACTATAGTACTTTATTTACAAATTTAGTTGAAAAACATTTATGTAGGAACACAATGTTGCAAAATAGTAATGATAAATTGCTTTTTGTAAATGACAAATTATTGAATAAAATTAATAAGCACTTGATGGCATTTAACATATTGCTTTACAGACGTGATATAAACAATGAAAATAAGACGATATTAGTGTTGAGCTACTTTTAATAATTTTCGATATAAGTACGTAAAATAAGGTCACCTAAATATTTGGTTCTCATATTTTTACGTACGCGGTCGTTGGTAAACTACTATTTATTGTCAGTCATTTCGAATAGAAATCTATAATTGTAATAATATGTATGAAAAATATGGAGCTATGATGTTAAATGATGTTGTACGGCTGGGGGCCACACTACGAAGAGTCTTAAAGCAGAGGACGTCCTTACTTAGCGCTAAGAACCAAGCTACTTGCTTGCGTAACAATGAAGTGATAATTTTAAAGGTACGAGTAGTAATAAATTGAATTGAGTACGTTAGTTGATTATAAAAAAAAACCGTCACTTATCAGGTGGGGTGGAGTCATTTGTCGGACCTATCTATAAAAAAAAGGATTTGCATCACGTTGGACGATTGCAAGTAATAGTTGAAAGTGTGGATGTATGTGTTTTTTATATATTGTTCAGAAGGCATATAAGCACACGGTCCATAGCGGTCTTGCTGTAAACCCCGTAAAACTACTTTTTAAAGAAACCCATACTGTATTAATTTGGAAAAAAACACAACAGGCAGCTTAAATTACAGCTTATTCGTATGCGACAATACCTCTAAAATCCCTGACGATGGCGAGTTGTGCGATGATAAAAGACAACCGTGGGGACCTATGAAAAAAATCCGTAGAGCACTCGCCAGTAAGAAAGAAGCAAACACACACCTGAGGGTCGAGGGCTCGATTCAACGTCTTGAGCTTCAAACCGTAAACATTCTCATAGCGTGGTTAAAACCACGTCAAGAGGTCTATACTGGCATCTAAGTGCTCCAACCCAAATGAAACAATTCTGCATGTGGGGCCTGACATGTGCTTTATATTATCATCGCGTATTTATCTTAAAGGGGCTGAAATGCATAAACTAAATTTAGTACACTCGATTGTGGTACCCTAATAAGAGTGAGCTCTACTTTAGATACACGTGGTTCGGGATATTCTTTCTCAAGGGACGGTGAGATATTTGCACTAGTTATCCCCAATACTGTCAAGCCATCAATCAATAGCATAATTATTATCATTGACATTTAAAACAGCGTCGGTGATTACACCGAGCCTTATGGAAAACCAGTACTGTCCATGTTATTGTCAACCACACACCAGTTTTAATGTTTTTGCTGGACCAAACGCTGGCAATGCACCCGCACGATAATTTTGGACAGTCCATGCGATGGCAACTTTGATAGTAAACCCCTGTGCCAGAAACCTATAGTTCACAGGGTTTGGAACCCTACTGAGTTGCTCTCTGACTGTTCTGTATTCCGAGTAAGAAATGCCAGCACACCTCTCGTACTACTCTTATGAATAAGCATATGGATATATTACCTATGTACGCGTGTTTATAGTCAATGAATCACACCCACCCAGCTCAGTCCCCGCACGATTACTTTGTATAGCTGCCTTTGTAGGACTTCTGTATCAAATATTTTACTCGTGTGTTTGTAAGCAAATAGAATTACAATCGATCACACAAATGTAAGGCTGCGCTTTCACTTAAGCGGGTCATTAATATTTACCAATGCCATTGGTCAATTTCTTTCGAATTCTGTTCAGCTCCGCTTCTTTGGAAACGTAGTCTAGCCCATATTACAGAATGACAACTAAGTGTAGATCTTTACTTGAGTACAGTTGAAAGGGATGTCGCTATGTGCTATATATGGCGACATCCCTTTATATCTATGCTCAAGATTAGATTCATTAAATGTTAACTTTTATTATTTCTAATACCGACTTAACTACAGTTAGCAATAGGTGAAGTGACCCAACTCTGTCGAATTTCTGCAACTGATTTTGAGCTTTATACTGCTTGAGTTTAGATTCAAAAATCATTTGAGCAACATTGTCCTTTTTTATCTCCTTGATGTGTAGCTGTAAGTACAATACTTAAAAAAATCTCTTCGACCTTTATTTTCCGAAATTATTTATAAATATCATGTTTTTATAATAAAACTAATCAAATTAAACCAGATTTTTATTTTCTATACATTTATGCTGCAAAATGTTTGAGCCAATGACTGACCTAAGCATTTAAAAAACAGAGTGTATTGGGAAAGCGATTTTGCATATTTTTTCCAAAATAAGATAGCTTGTAAATGTTTCTGTTGGTATATTTTGTCAAAATTTGCGTACACTTTATCAAAAATGCTTTCTTTCAATTGCTGATAACAGTAAAAATCTCTACGATCGTTAATTATTGTGATATCTTTAGTTTCTTGAAAAAGGTTTCTCAGCCATTTTTTGCTGTGTAAGTAGTAAATATTGTAAATAGCGTGATTTTCCTTGAATATATTGTTAAAGATTTTGTCGGCATCTAATTTGTAAGATCGTATGTGGTGGGTATTGTTCACATCATTGTGACTCTCGTCTTCTGACCAAACTGATTCACTGTTTTTATTTGAAATGGATCCAGTGTCTGAGAAATATTTTTCTTCATCGTTATTATCTCCGTCAGTATCTATTGTCTTTATTGATTCACACACAGATATTGAATAGCTTTCATATGCTAGTTCGTTGGTTTCTTCAGTATTGATTGATTCGGACCCTGTTAAAGATACCGTTTCCAAACTAGACTCTTGCGATCCTATTAATTCGCAGTCAGATATAGAGTCTGTTTTACTTATTATGTCTTCAAACTCTTCTGTTTTAATAGATTCACAGTCAGATAAAGATTGTCTCTCAAAACAGATACCATTTTGCTCGATTTTTTCTGAATTATTCTGAGATAAAACTTTATTTTTTTCATCAACATCATCACAATCTGGTACGTCGAAGTTATTTAATTGTTTTACTTTAACAATGTTTACTGATTCTTGTTCTTGAAGATGGTCCATCTCTTTAGAAATCCTGATTTCGTTTTGAGTAAAAGTGATGGCTTTATTTCTCTTACGTAAGACAAAAATGTTTTTAAAATTCTCAATGGTTAATTTTCCAATTGTATTCCAACTATGCAATGAAAAATCCTTGTAAACCATAAAAATACTATTCTTGAACCATTTGTTTACTTCTATTATGATATTTATTGTAGAATTTATAATTATAACGAAATAATGTTTTGTGGTATAGTATAAGGTGTATGTTTTATTTTTATTCAGTAAAATTCCTATTAAATAACCTTGAATAAAATTAAGGATATACCAATTTTGGTTAATATGTGAAAGTGCATTCTCAACATCATGGATGGTTCGTTTTTGCTTTGAAGCAGTTACTAATAGGGTTCGAAGAAAATTTGTAATACACTTTGAATCTTTATCAAATATAATGTTTTCATTCTGTTTTTCGTAATTTAGAAGTGAATGTTGGTATAAATCATTATCAGTTATAAATATTGTTGCTCCAATTGTTTCATTATTTTGTTCATCCATATGATTTTGATAGCTTTGACTTAGTGCTCCATTATCCAATATTGGCAAAAAATTCAGAAATCTTCGGAATTGCGTTAAGTCAACTGTTAATATAAAAAAGTTTGATCGAACTGTTTTTGCTTGTAATGTGTTTTTAGTATTTTGTGCTTTATAAGACAGACTATGCTCAATGTCTTCATATAATAATTTGGGGAATACGAATATAATAAACAAATATTCGTTAGTATAACAGCCCCAGTTTTTTTTTAATTCAACTAGGAAATTACTTAAAATATTGGTCCATGTAAATTGTTTAGGTTTTAACAAGTTCTCGTTACTTTCTAAAAAATCAGTGTTTCTATAATTGCTGATATTTGAACATTTGGGGTAACTTTGATAAATATCGTTTACACAAAATTTCAAATTTATATCTACCATTATTAGGTTATTGTTATCGATTATTTTGTAGGAGTTTTCACTACGCGGTTTTATGTTTTCACTTGCTTTTAAAGATTGATCTTGGAAATAAAAATCCACTATATTAAACTCGTTAAACTTGGAAAGGTATTTCAACAGATTGTTATTGACTATATACGTGTTGCGATAAATGCTTTGTTCATTTTCTTTTCCATGTTTTGAT